TATTCTGAATTAGCCAAGTAGCCTGGTATAATCACAAGGGTCCTTACAGAAGGGACTCAGGAGGTCAGAGTGGCTAGTAGGAGGTGAGACTATGGAAGCAAGAAGTTGGAGTAATACAAGGAGGCAACCATAAGCCACGAAATGCAGGTGGCCTCTAGAACCTGGGAATAGCAAGGAAACAGGTTCTCCCCTCAGAGCTTCCGACAGGAATCAGCCCTGCTGCCACCTGACTTTAGCCCTGTGAGACTGATTTTAGACCTCTGACCTTCAGAACTGTAAGATGACACATCTGTGTTGTTCTCCTACCTCTAAGTTTGTGGTAAAGTTAGAGCAGCTATGGGGAGCTAATACAGTTATTGTAGAGCTCTTTCTGTCAAGGCAAAGTGATTCTCTTCTTCCCAGTGTCAAGATGTGCCCAGGTGTGTGGTGAGTTACAGGTCCATGAAGCCCATGTGGACGGGGATCCAAGGGCTGTCAGCCCTCAGCTTGGCCTGTCCTGCTCTTCATCATACTCTGAGAAAAGCGCCTCCTTTTGCAGTGATGGGCGGGACAGCTGGGAGTCCAAGGCTGGCTGAGAGGTGACACGGGGTTCTCTCTTCCAGGAGCCTGGGCTGCACTGTGGTGGAGATGCTGACAGAGAAACCACCGTGGGCAGAGTATGAAGCTATGGCCGCCATCTTCAAGATAGCCACCCAGCCCACCAATCCTCAGCTGCCCTCCCACATCTCTGAACATGGCCGGGACTTCCTGAGGCGCATTTTTGTGGAGGCTCGCCAGAGACCTTCAGCTGAGGAGCTGCTCACACACCACTTTGCACAGCTCATGTACTGAGCTCTCATGGCCACGCGGCTGCCGGCCGCCCTTTGCTGCTGGGGGCTGCTGCGGGGCTCAGTGAAGTTGCTGCTTCTCCCAGGCAAGGCTGTGGACCATGGAGCGGCAGCCCAGCCAGCGTCTGTCTGTGCCCCTTCTGCCACTGGGGCTCAGAGCTGGGATGGGGTGGCTGTAGCCTCAGGACTGGGAGACCCCAGCCTGTCATATCCAGGAGCTCCAGTGTCCTGAGCTCAGCGTGGAGGGGTAGGGGCTGGGAACAATGTGCAAGGTGGCTGTGGGCCCCACCTTCGGGGATGTGTCCCGACACTGCAAATGGCACTGAAGCCCAAAGGGTCTGGGGGCATGGGACTGACGCCAGGGTATGAAGAGTGTTATTTTCATTCAGAGTGTTATTTTGTTTTTCCTTACAATGTCTGGAGACCACCAGGGCGTCTCCAGGTTAGATGAGCTCCCACAAGCCTGAGGGAAAGGCCAGCACCCCACAGCAGTGGCAGGCAGAAGCCCAGGCTACCCTCCCCTAGAGCCCCAGGTTGGCTGTGCCAGTCCTGTCCTTTACCAAAGATGAATGAAGCAAATGTCATGCTGCCTTATTCAGGGAAGGAGGAGCCAGTCCTGCCTGTGCCCATGACCCTGCCTCCCCCAGGCAGGGGCCTGTGATGTCGAACTGCTGCCACTGAGGGGGATCCAGTTTTGTCAATGCAGTTGTCTCTGTTTTACAAGTCGGAGTCACTCTTATGCTGTACCCAGTTTCTAAAGTGGAGACTGTGTGTGCCCTCTGGGCTCTGAGTACCTGCTGTGGGCTTGGGCCTAGGCTACATTGGAAAGAGCTGGAGGTCATGGCCTTTGTGCTCCTGGCCTAGCATCTGTTCCCCACTGGAGCAGAAGGGGAGATGGACGACATGGCGGGTGCATCTGGCCCAGCCAGTGCCCTGGTCCCAGAGAGCATGAGGAGGTGTCTCAGGCTGTCTTGAGTCGTGACCTGCTAGGCCAGAGCCCACTCCGTCTGGTAGAAGGGAAAGCCCATGTGCTGCCACCAGCTGTGTCCCAAACCGCCAGCTCTGTTCTTCCTTAGCCAGCCTTGCCCATCCCCATGAGGTCTCAGCCTTTTTCCCTTCTAGCTCCTCCCTTGGGGGAGGAATGACAGCAGGGGTTGGGGAAACAGCATCTCCAAGCAGCTTAGAGTTGGCCATATGTACCTCAGCCCGGGCGCTGGTCCTTTCTTCCAGCCCCTCCCCTCCAAAATGTGCCTATTGCTAGAGCTCCTCCCTCTCAACACCCAGTTTCCTTGGGAGTTGTCATTAAAGGAAAAAAAAAAAAAGCCAGTGCCCAGGGATGGGCATCTCCAGGGAGCTGGGGATTAGTGCCAGGCAACCCTGCCAGCCATGCCTACATCCCCATGGGCACAGAACAAGCCAAAGCCTTCGTTGTATGTTGACGATGCACTTTTATGAATGTAGTTTCTATCGCTGTTTTTAGCCTTTTCACATGATGTAATGTGAGGCCTTGTACTTGTTAATTTATATCTCAGATCATATTTGATGGTTTTTATATATATCAATTCTAGACTGTTACAGGTGATGGACGCTTCGAGAGAGAAGAGAAAATGAAAGCAGCTGGTTTTGCAGAAGTTGTGTGTCACATGGTGCCAGTTGGGCCTAGACCCCTCTGTTTCCATCCCTTTTCCCCCAGGGGCTCTGTCGGCCCCTGCACCCCACACTGTCCTCTGAAGACAGCATAGGCTCCTGCTTCCACCTCGGCCCTTGCCCAGGGTGGGGCCTGGCCCTCATCTCGACCAAAGCTGCTGTGTGGCAGCTCGGCCTCTCCACGACCCCATCCTGCTGGCTGCACACTCTTCCTGGTCCGCACCCCCATCCCCAGTCCCTATTCCCTAAGAGGATACAGAGCACAGTGCTGGCTGACTCTACTGTGGGTCCTAGGTTCAGGTTCACAGAGCCCCACCCCCTGGGGTCTTACCTCACTGGGAATGTTTTTTTTTGAGACAGAGTCTCACTCTGTTGCCAGCTGGAGTGCAGTGGCATGATCTCGGCTCACTGCAACCTTTGCCTCCCAGGTTCAAGCAATTCCTTTGCCTCAGCCTCCTGAGAACCTGGGACTGCAGGTGCGTGCTACCACACCCAGCTAATTTTGTATTTTTAGTAGAGGCAGGGTTTCACCAAATTGGCCAGGCTGGTCTCATACTCCTGACCTCATGATCTGCCTGCCTCAGTCTCCCAAACTGCTGGGATTACAGGCATGAGTCACTGCACCCGGCTGGGAATGTGTTTTAAAAATGAATTTGAAGACAAGCCAACAAACTATACACTCCAAAAAAGCAAAACAGTCCCTAATTTTTTGTGCCAAAAACTGTGGACATGCTGGCTCAGCATCCTTAGGACCAAGTTGTTGCTTAATTTTAATTTATTGTTTTTTAATAACTAATACAGAGAAAAAGTTGTGGGGCTTCAAGATGACCTGGGCCCGAAGGTTCTGAAGGGCAGTTTCCTGGCAGCCCCAGGCTTGCTGTGAGAAGGGGCTGTGTCACTTTCTCATCATTCCATGGGGTGTGTCTGCCTGGGCCAACTTTGAATGCAGAGCCCAGGGCTGGGGACAGTCTGCACTCTGCCGCCCTCCTGCCCCTCCCGTCCACCCCAGCTCTGCGTCTGTGTCTGAATTGTGGATCGTGCAGAAGAACCTGCAGCCATAGTTATTTGACTATATCTTGACCGAGGGCTTGCAGTGCAAAGCCAGGCCAGTGTTGCGCATTACTTACAATAAAAGGGATCATTTATATCAGAGGGGTCCTGTGGCAGTGCTTTCAGTTGCAGGGGATGGAGGTAGGTTTTTGCCTGACGGGCTGGGTATGGTGCCTGGCAACAAGCTTGGGCCTCTCAAGCAGAAGAGAACTTGTCTCCGAGTAGAGGGGTCCTGGGATGACCTGGCTGGTACCCAGAGGTGTCTGCCCCTTTTCCTCCACAAGCTCCACTGGGGTGGTACCCTCAGGGCTGATTTACCAAGGTGGCATTGCTGGCCCTCACAAGTTGAATGTCACCAGTGGCTGGGTTCCCAGAGCCTTCATGGCATCTTGTAGGGTTTTCCTGGCCCAAGACTTCCTTGAATCCCATCTTTGCAGGGCAGGGGTCAGGTGCCTCCAAGAGCCACCTCTCCAGTATTCCCTTGTGGCCCATCTGCTGTTGCTTAACCGAAGAAAGACCAACCTTGTTGCCATCCGAGACCTCTGGTGCAGGAAGTTCGCCTGCCCTGAGAGGTTGAGTTGCTCGCTTCGTACTTGAAGGGACCAGGCCTGGGGGACCATCTTTACCGAGTATTCGCTGTTCAAGGAGCAGTGTGTGCCTCAGCACAGTGGCTCATGTGACACTGGAGCCTGTGGCCTAGCTCGCTGCCCTGTTCCATGGGGAGAAGGCCACTTAGGAACTTAGGCAGTTGTATAGTGTGGTGGCAGCAAACCCTTCAGGACTGTTCTCATCTACCCCATGTCTGGAAACATCAGGAAGCTGGATAAGAGCAGGACAACCCAGACTTCCTGCCTGTGTCCCACCAGGCTTGCCTGGTTTGGTCTGCTGTAAACTCATCCCTCATTTTCCCCGGGTTTTCAGAGGAGCAGATGGTTTCTCCTTGGACTTCCTAGGGCAGTAGCTGTGACTGCCTCACCCCAGAGCTTGAAAAGGTAAGTGGATAATGACAGCAATGAGGGGGAATGATAAGGAGGGACAGTGCGGGGGGTCACTAAAACCTGGGGCAGCACTTGCTGGTTTCTGCCATTTGTCACTAACTTCCAGGTCAAAGGGCTGTGAAGAAGGGAGCCAGACAGCTGGAACCAGCCAGGGTGCATGGCAGCTTGCACCCCCAACACTGAAGTGCATCGAGGACAGGCGCCATCACCCACTGGTCACCTGGCCCTCCCGCTTTCAGGCCTCTTCACAATGGGGTGCATGTGGTAGTCAGTGGGTCTGAACCACCCCAAAGCTGAGGGATGAGGTGGAGTTTCAGTTCCAAAACTGCTGTGGGTGTGACAGCATGAAGCCCTTGCTGGGAAGAGGAGCCCTCTCATTTCTCAATGGTGTGTCTGACACCCACTTCTAGCCCCCATGCCCTCCCCATGGTGAGTCTGCACCCTTCCTGCGACAAATCCCCCAGCAGGCCACACAATAGAGAATCTGGATCTGTTGAAACATGTTTAAAACGGGGTTGGTCAAAACAGGATAGGCAGAAACAGGGGAGTGGGAGGGGAGCGGGACTGTGCCAGCCCCTGCCAGCGTCTGAGGCTGCAGCCTGGCGAATGCTTTAGCGTCCGCTTCTCCACGCTGGTGGTGCGAGATGGTCCCAAGTCCCACTTGCCCTGACGAGGGAGGGTGGCTCCACTTCCTCATCCCCTCCCCTGTGGGCTGCAGGGGCATTTATGAGGCCCAACAGGTGGCACTGCTGTGCTCCTTCCTGTCTCCTCCGTGGCTCAGAACCAGGTTAAGGGTAGAGGTAGATGGGGAGATGCGGGGGCCACACAGCCTCTGGTGGCAGTGAGGGAGCTTGAGACCCTGAGCGGGGCATGCTGACTCCTTGCTGGAGAAAAGGCACCTAGATAGGGAAGCTGGGCGTGGGAGCCTCCTAGGGGGTCCTGAGGTGAGGTGGGGAGGACAGCTGAAAGAAGCAGGAAGCAGGGTGGTGGGCAGACCCCAATCCTGGTTCCCAAACCCTCACCCGCTGCGGGACAAGGAAGGAAGGAGTCATGGGGCAGAGCCCTGCCCCTGGGCCCCTCGGCCTGAGCAGGCCTCATTCCCTTCCCACTTGGCCCCCACGCAAGCCCAGGTCGACCTCCTTCCCAACCTTCCCCCTGCCGGCGGAGGGGGTGGAAGGTTGCAGGGGCCTCAGGACGTCTTGGTGCCGGGGTCCACCTCCTTGTGGGCCCAGAGCTCCTTGTGCTGCTTGCGGCCAAACCCCTCGTCGTAGTTGCCTTTGCTCTTAAACAGCTGCTGGAAGTGGGGTTTGCAGTAGAACTCCCCGTGCAACGCGGCGTAGCTGCCCAGGCTGCGGAAGCCCAACAACGGCCTCAGATCAAGCCAGGTCGCTGCTGGGCTGGCAGGCGAGGGGGAGGGCAGGGCAGGGGCGCACCTGAGTTTGGTGTGACAGTGCTTGCAGCAGAAGCAAGAGTTGTGGAAAATGAGCTTGTCGGCCACCAGCCGCTCCATGGGGTACACTGTCTTCTGACAGGCGGCGCATGTCTCCTTCACTTGGGCCCGCAGGCTGAAGGACTGTGCGGGAAGTTCAGCCAGGGGATGCCCAGAGCCCACTCCGCTCCCCCACGCCCCTCCTCCCGCACACCCCGCCCCAGGCCCCTACCTTGGAGCGCTGCACCGTGCTGCTACCGCCGCCTTTGGCTTCCTGAGGGAGAGGGGCGGTCAAGGCAGGGCAGCTCCGGGAGGCCCTGGACCACGGCTGCAGCCATCGGCCCAGGACCAGAGGCTCGCCGCAGGGGGCAAAGGCGGCCGGCAAACCCCCGCACTTCTCCCCTTCACCCCAGCCCGGGGGCCCTCACACCTGTCTGGGCACTTACATGGGAGGGAGTAGCCTGGGCGCCTCCTGCAGCCTGGAACATGGCTCGTTGGAGGTGGAAGCCCCGGGTGGAGACACGACACTCGATGGGTTCTGCAAGGGGAAGTCAGTCGGGAGGGCCCCAGCCTGCAGGGTGGGGGGTGTTGACAGGCAGGGGCTGGGGGGATTGCGGTTGGGACTTTCCCTAAGTCATTTCCTGTTGCTCTTGGTCTTGCCACTTCCGCCCCTCACCCACCTCCCACACCCCTGCTCCCTGGGGGCCGGGGTCCCGAGTGGCACCGTGCCTTCGGAAGAACAAAGTTAGCGGGAGCGGAGGGAGCCTGGGGCTCCCGCGCAGCCGCCCTCTGCGCCCCGCAGGCCGGGACCCCCGCCTGGGGTGAGGGAACGTGGGGGCGGGCGGGGCCGGGACGAGAAATCGCTGCCCCAACCTGACCCCGGCCCTCGCTGCCCAGCGCCGCGCCCGCGCGTCGAGGCCTCGGCTGCGCAGCTCCTGGACAGCGCCCGAGGTCCCCGCCCGCCCCGCCCCGCCCCTCCGACCCCGTCCCGGCCCGGCAAGGACTGGACCCCAGACCCCGGCGCCGCGAGCCCAGCCAGTGGGACTCGGCTCCGCCCCGCCAGGGGCCGGCCCTGAAGCGGGGACTCGAGCCTGGGCACCCCGGACCAGAGCGGCGCGCGGACTCGCCGGAATCCCGCGGGCTGCCCTCGCCCCACCCCTCGGCATTTCCCACCCGGTTCAGGGGCCGGACGTGGCCCCTCCCCCCGCGGCTCTCACCCGACCCGGCCTGGACCGCGGGGCGGGATCGGTCTCCGGGGGCGCACGAGTGCGAGGAGGACGCGGGCGCGAGCTGCCGCGGCTGCCAGTGGTCCCGAAGCGGCCGCCGCCGCCACCGCCTTATCGCGGCACCGCCCCCGCCGGCCCCCGCCGGCCCCCACCCCGCGCCCGCCCATTGGCTCCGCCGCGCCCGGAGCCGCCTCCGGGGCCCCGGCGCCGCCGACCCCCCTCCGCGCTTTGTCTTCCCCTCGCCGCCCTCCCCGCCTTTGTCTCTCCCCTTCCCCTACCCCGCGCTCCCAGCCCCACAGCGCCCCGCGAGCTCGGCGCTCGCAGGCCTCAGGCACTGGCCGCATCGTCTGCTCATCCCAACAGCGCCGGGGCCCCGGGTGGCCTGGCGTGGGGAAGCCACGGTGGCGGGGACAGGACGGAAGGGCCGCGCTCCGCATCCCTCGGGGAGGGGACGAGTTCAGGCTGCGGCAGCTGCGGCGGTCGCAGGACACCGGGCGCTCCCGGCGTTGCTCCGGGATAACCGGTCTGGGCTTGGGCTGTTCACTGCCTCGATTTTCCCTGGGTCGCCTCGAGTGCAGGCGCCGGCCCCTCCATCCCCGCCCGGAGCTGCGGAGTCTCAGACACCCCGCCGGGGTGACCCCGGGGCCCGGCCCGGGGTCCCTCGGGCCGCCGAGTCCTCCGGCCGCCAGAGGCCGCCCCCGCGCCCTTGCGGCCCACGACGCTGGCTGCGGCGTCTGGGCACGCGGTCTCCAGGCCCCGCCGCGAGGCTGCGGGGAGGAGCCCGGGGCGCCAGCTCGCCGTTGAGCCTGTGCAAGGGCCTGGCGGCCCCACCAGCCCTTCACGCCTCTGCAATCCTGCGACTTGCCGCGGAGGCCGCTGCGCGTGGCTCCTGGAGCACCCGTCCCCCGAGGCTCGACGTCCTCATGCGTTTCTGGGGCGGGATTCTGTGAGCAGCAACCTCGACCCCTGCGGGGCGCCCCTCCAACAAGCGCACCTCATTTCTCACGGGGGAGCCGCGGCCCGGAGAGCTGAGGTGACAGCGCTCAGGCCGCAAAGCTGCTCCCGCCCTGCAGCCGCACAGTAGGCCAGAGGCACTGCAGGCCGGCGACCACCACTTGCTCTGGAGCTGCGGCGAGGCCGGCGCCTTCCCAGGCACCAGGGACCGCGTGGCTTTGCCTGAAATCAGCCTGGAAGCTGCTCCTCGAAGCACAGCGCCTTCCCACACTGTGGCAGGAATAGCACTGGCGGCTCCAGAGCGCGGCCCACGCGTTTGTCAGCGAGCGAACAGCTCCCGCCTGGCAGGGAAGCTGGGGAGGCTGCAGCTTCCCCAGCGCCCAGCTGTTTGCCAGGCTGGCGGGCTCCATGCAACGGCTCCGCGTCTCTCCTCCAGCCTTCTGTTCTCTCGAGAGGAAGATCTGCGTTTTGCCTGTACTGTGGGCCAACTCCCACAGTGGGAGTGGGGAGTGTCAGACTCTCAAACTGGCTGCCTCTCAGGAAAGCTTTCAAACCTGTCATCAGATTCTCCAAAGGGGCTGTTTGATGCAAGAAATGGGAAGCCCCCGGGCACCAGGAGCAGGGCTTGTTGCCACTGGGTACAGTGAGGCCCTGGCACCCTTCCCAGGACAGGCCTGTGGGCTGAGCTGCAGGTGGGCATTGAGGATGCACCAACAGCCAAGGTGCAGAAGGCATCTGGAAGCAAAGTAAACTGCTTTGATGACCAGTGTTGGGAAAAAAAAAAAGGTAACTTGGCTGGGCGGTGACTCACGCCTGTAATCCCACGGAGGCCGATCACGAGGTCAGAAGTTCGAGACCAGCCTAGCCAACATGGTGAAACCCCATTTAACTAAAAATACAAAAATTGTCCGGGTACGGTGGCATGTGCCTGTAATACCAGCTATTCGGGAGGCTGAGGCAGGAGAATTGCTTGAACCTGGGAGGTGGAAGTTGCAGTGAGCCGAGATGATGCCAGTGTACTCCACCCTGCTGTCAGAGTGACTCCGTTGGGGGTGGGGGGAGACTTGAGGTTTGAAGCAGGGGGAAGGCTGGAAATGAGCTCCCCAGCTGCTCACTCACTTGCCCCAGGTCCCCATCCTAGCCCAGGGTCAGTGTCATTCCTGTCATCTTAGCCTCTCACTGCCCAGAGGAAGACGTTTACTTCTCTTTAAGCTGCTGTTAAAGTTTGGGAGGAAATGGAAAGTGAGGGCACTTGATGGTTCAGTGCAGCTTCAGGGTAGAGGGGTGTTTGAGGTGCCTGAGCTGGTGGGGGGGCTTCCCCCTGAGGGACTGGGAAAGGGGTAAGCCATGTGATGTGCCTTAGAAGCACTGTGGGAGACCCATATTTGCACCACCCCCTTGCTCACACTCGCTGCTAGCCAGCATGGCAGGGATGAGCAGGGCTTGGTCTTAGCTTTCCTGCTCTTTGGGTGCTAGCACCCAAGGTAAGGAGACATCCAGGTCAGGTTGCAAGACAAACCTTTCTACCTCCTTTCCTGCCAAAGGCTGCCAACATCCTCTGCCTCAGTTTCAATCTTTGGACCTTTTTAGTTCCAAAGTGGTTTGACGGCCACAGGCTAACATTCAGTCTTAAAATTTTAGATAGTTAAGAGACAGATTATGGGTTTTAAGAGAAACTGGTCTATCTAGTGAAAGAGGCCACTGCTGAGCTTCCGACAGAACCCTGGGCCTGCTCTTGGATGGTGGGACGGTTCTCATCTGGGGTAGCACAGCCATCCTGCAAGCACAAGCCCCGGGAAGCAGCTTGTAGCCCCTGAGCTGATGTAGACACAACAATGCCATTCTCCAGCAGGGTCTCTGGAAATTTTAATTTGTTTTGACAACAAAACTGACACAGCATAAGGACTTAAGCCCTCAAGCTAGGCAAGACACTGATGGCCCTTGGAGAAAGCACCAGGGCAGCTGGCAGAAGGCGCTAAAATGGGTTCTTGGTGGGAAAGGAATGAGGCACACACACCTGGGAGAGATTTAGGTGTTAGGGCCCAAGCTAGAATGGGATAAGGATGGAATGTCCCATCCTGAGTCTGTGCTTAAAAAGACAGAAATACCCTTCTCTGCAACTACAAGGGCGAGGTCTGGGGGAAGGGAGGCAGGCAGCTTACTACTTGCCCTTTCACTGACCTATAGGATCTGAGAACAAAGTTAAATAGAACGAGGCTGGTCGCAAGCACTGGGAAGAGGTGGCAGTCCTCGGGGTTAATGAGTCAAACCCTGGGCTCCGAATTCAGCTCCCAGGGCCAGAACAGCATCCCTTCCTTCTGCGGGGGTCACCTGAGCTCACAGGACTGGGAATGTCGGCTTTGCACCCTCCCAATCCCTAGGTGTTGAGATTCTCTTGTTTCTCAAAAGCCTTGGAGCAGTGAAGAAACATCTCTCCAGGATTTTCTTTCCCAATCAGTCAGCAGCCATCTTTCCGGGAAGAATGTCCTTTCTACCCAATCTGCCCGGGAGGGTGGGAATGTGGCCAGCCCTCAGGAAGGGCCTCTGCGTCCCTTGCGGGAGAATGCACACAGTTTGCAGAGGCTCAGAACTCCCAATCATCTACCTCCAGCTCTTCCAGGTTTGTTACGAGGCCAAAGATTCCACTGTGGTCCTGAGTCTGGCTGCCCTCAAAATTGGTGATGGGGGTGACGGGACGAAGCAATTCGGGCAAAGCCTCTGAGGCACGTCGCTTGATCTAGGGGAGAAGAGAGAGGTGGGTGATGGATCCTGTTGCTCTGGGTCCCAGGACACCACGGGGCAAGGAAGCCCAGTGGCAGACGGGCTGTCGGAACCAATTCTACAAGAGGAAGGAGCAGTGCCTTTCAGGGGCTTTGGAAGTGGGATAAATTCTCTCATTCAAAGGGATGGGAGAGAATACCTGAAGAACCCAAAGCTAAAGGGATTATGAGTCCTTAGAAACATAGGCAAGAAAAACACAATGAGCCTTGGGAAGGAGCTACGGTACCTGCTTGAAGAAAGAGTGGTTCAGGAGGGTACCGGCGCTCGGCCTGGAAGGAAAGGGGTGGAGAGATCACAGGTCACTGCCATGCCCCAGCTTCCCAAAATCCTGCTGCTTATGCCTCAGCCTCTGCCTCTCCCTGAGCTGACTGAAAAGCGGTGGCCAGAGCTCCCCAGGCTGGCCTCTTACACACCCAGGAGGTCATCCCTCCTGCGTGTAGCTTCACATTCCTCCTGGGAGCTCTGACCCCTGCAGAACCTTTGAGAGGTTCGTCCATTCCTTCACACCCTGGCCTTACTTCCTGAGCACCCTCTGCTTTCCCGAAGCCCAGGCCCAGGCCAACAGGAATACCTGGAGTCCGGATTGCGCTGAAGGCACTGCTCCACAAAGTGGTGGAAGTGGGGGGAGAAGGTTCGGTGGTAGGGGTGGGAAGGTGAGTCACCGTTGGAGGGCCGGGGGGTGCTGGTGGTCAGGCTGTCACTCAGGCCAGAGTTGGCCACTGAACGCGAAGGGCTCATGGTCAGCTCCTCGGCGGGGATGGTGCTGGTATCCAGCAGGCAGGGCACGGTGCCGTTCAGTTTCTCAAGCAGCATCTGGGGAGGGAAGAACCAGGGCCTGGGCTGGAGGGGGCCCCTGGAAGGCCCAGAGAGTCTCTTCACAAATATACTTTTCCAAATATGCAAATGTGATCATTTGAGATCAGAAAAAGATGGAAGTGGAGTAAGTCTAATTTTCCCAAAGAAATGCTGGTCACTGGTGTGGCAGCTACACCCTAGCTAGGCCAACATGAAAAGGAGAGGGGTTGTACAAAAGTACCCCCTTTCGCCATGGCTGGAAAACACTGCTCACAGTTTCTTCTCTCCCTTTACGAGGCATCAAATTCCTTTTACTGCAGGATCCTCACCCTAGTGGGAGGGAGCGGCCAGGTCACCTGCTTTGAAGCACAGCTGCCTGCCACGGCCGGATGGATCCAATGAGGTCTGTGAGGCAGCACCGGCAGTGCCACAGCTTGGGTTGTCGCTGTAGCAGGCCACATGGGAGCAAGGTGCCCAAGGGAAGTCCAGGCTGGGTGGCTGTCCCAAAGCGCCTCAACTCAACACACATAAATCCAGCCCCACCTGGGGACTGCTGTCCTCGTGAAGTCCTCATAACCCCATAAGCTGTCTGAGCCAGAAAGCTGGAAATCGTTCTAAGGCTGCACTTATGTGATAGCCACTAGCCACTTGTGGCTATTTCTATTTAAATTAGGTTTCAGATTCAGTCCCTCAATCTCAATGGTCACATTCTAAATGCTCAACAGCCACACAGTCTCATGGCTCCCTCACTGGACAGTGCAGCCACAGGATCCTTCTTTCTCTGCCGCAAATTCTAGTGGATGCTGCTGCTTCTAGGCCTGGACCTCTTGTTCACCCTCAATTGCCTTTTAATTCTTTCCTGAGCATCCTGTCACTAAATTATTTTACTGAGATCTCCTAGATTCCTCACCTAGATTTCCACACCATCCTAACTGGTCTACCGGATCTAATTCATCTGACAGGGTGATCTTTCTAAATGAACTATCTTATGCTATCACTCCTGTGCTTACAGTCCTTCATCACTGCTCCACAGGCTTTGTGACAGGAACCAGTGCTCTAAAGTGGCATCCAAGCCCTTCACAATGTCCCCTTGTTTCCTTCTGCAGCCTGCCACCCGGCAGCCCCCAAGAAGCACTGCACCTTGGCCATTTATACCTCCTGTTGTTCTCCAGATCCTGTTTTTCCTCGACTCTGGGTCTTTGCACATGCCGCTTTCTCTGCTAAAAGTGTCCTAGTTCCTCCTCCACACAGGTGACAACTGTCTGTCCTCCAACTCAAGGCTGACTCCTCCTGGGACCTCCCTTGGCTCCTCCTCTGGGGGGCTGTACTCTGGCCACCCTCCAGCTGGCTGCCCCTACCACCGGGCCAGCAGCCTGTGGGTTCCAGGAGTGGCTTGCTCAGAGCCTGCATCCTACCCCTCCCAGTTCTAGACCATACTCCAAGTACCTAGGACCCAGGTAATCCTTGCTGAAATGACCCCAAATCCACTTTCTGGATTTAATGAGGCCTGGATAAGCCTCTTCCCTGGGTCTGTCTTCCAAAGAGTAGACTGTGCCACTGACTGTGCACCCTTGGTCCGAGGGGTGGCCAGAGGACAGGCATCTGGAGGGGCATGAACAGAAGCTGAACTTGCAGAATGCAGGTTCCAAAGGTGTTGGCTAGAATTCGGTGGCATGGAACTCTGAGAACTGTGGGAATTCTAAACTAGAAACTGACCTTCCAGATGTATTCAACCAAGTAGGAGGACAGAACATATTTTATAAATTTATGAAGACTGGTTAGCTTGATTTATATGTTTTAAATAGACATGTGGCATGTGGGCCTCGATTTGCACCCCTGCTCCCAAGCTCCCCTCCCCAAGCCAGGCTCCCTAACCACCAAATTTGCCACAGGAAGTAAACAAAGAGTGAGGCTACCATCCCCCACAAGGTGGGATTACTTGACAGAAAAGACAGGTCTTTCATCTTAGTATTCCTGCTCTGTGCCCTGAGTGTGGCAGATACTCAATTAACATGTGCGGAAGGCAGGCAGGCAAGAAGGAACCCGACAGGCGGCAGGCTTACCTGGGTGGCAGGCATATCCTTAAAGGGGACATGGCCATTGGCCAGTTCACAGGCTGTGATTCCCACACTGTAGATGTCAGACTTGGCATCATAACCCTGGAGATTCTAAGCCAGGAAAAAAAGGCCACAGATGACCCCATTTGGTCTTTGTTCTTAGAAAACGGGTAGAACTAAGGAGAGGAAAAGGATGGCGGTCCCCAAAGCAGGACCCACTGCTAATGCCTCTCCTTGCCTGTGCTACTGAAGACTAACTGCTATATCACCACCGGCAACTGTTTGGTGATGCTCTGTAAGGAGCAGGAGGTGCCAGCCCCATGCCCCTGCTTAGCACAGGGATCCAGAGAGCACCAAACATTTCCAAAATGCTCACTCTTCTCATAGGGTGGCAAGAGTCCTTGAAGGGAGCTGAAATAGCATCTGGTAGAGGTTAGGACTCCCCGGGGGGAACCACATCCATCTGCAATGAACAGGCACTGCCCACGCTGAGGGCTCCCTCCCTCCAGGAACCCCTTTACCCCACTGGGAGACTGAGAGCATCTAACCCCAGGCAATGCCTGAAGGCTCCCTTGAGAATCATGAGTTGGGTAAAGGGCCTCCTTGGGGCCCGTGCACAGACCTGCTGGAGGACCTCGGGGCTGAGCCACGGCAGAACCTTGACACTGTACTTGGGAAAATCGTGGACCACTCGCTGCCGCTGCCCATGGCTTATCATGCTGAGGTTGCTGCGCAAACCAGACAGGTAGACCTTCCCATCCACAGAGATCAGGATGTGGCTGGCTTTGACACTCCTGGGGAGGTGGGGAGGGTGTCATGGAGAGCAGGAGCCCCTCTAGACGTGGCCAGCTCTCCCTGTGTGCATGGGTTATATATGTATATGTGTATTTTACATATACATAACCATGTTTTTGTTTTTATTGAGACAGAGTCTCACTCTGTCACCAGGCTGGGGTGCAGTGGTGCAATCTAGGCTCACTGCAATCTCTGTCTCCGGGGTTCAAGCAATTCCTGTGCCTCAGCCATCCAAACAGCTGGGATTATAGGTGTGCACCACCACACCTGGCTAATGTTTACATTTTTAGTATAAACATTAGGCAGGTTATATTTTAGATGGGGTTTCGCCATGTTGCCATGCTGGTCTTGGACTCTTGGCCTTAAGTGATCTGCCTGCTTTGGCCTCCCAAAGTGCTGGATTACAGGTGTGAGCCCCTGTGCCCAGACTATAATCAGGTTTTTCTTTTTTTTTTTTTGAGACGGAGTTTCGCTCTTGTTGCCCAGGCTGGAATGCAATGGTGCAATCTTGTCTGAGCACAACCTCCGTCTCCCAGGTTCAAGTGATCCTCCTGCCTCGGCCTCCTGAGTAGCTGGGACTACAGGCACAAACGACCACCTCCAGCTAGTTTTTATATTTTTAGTAGACACAGGGTTTCACTATGTCAGCCTGGTCCCAAACTCCTGACCTCAAGAGATCCACCCCTTGGCTTCCCAAAGTGCTGCCACCCCACCCAGCTAAAACCATGTTTTGATGAAAAACTCTAAACCTACATAAAATAGCATGACCCCATTTACATATCACCAGATTAAAAGCTTATTTAGCTCTGTCATCCAGGCTGGAGTGCAATGGTATGATCTTGGCTCATTGCAACCTCCACCTCCCAGGTTCGAGTGATTCTCCTACCTCAGCCTCCCGAGTAGCTGGGATTATGGGCACCCACTACCATGCCTGGCTAATTTTTGTATTTTTAGTAGAGATGGGGTTTTGCCATGGTGGCCAAGCTGGTCTCAAACTCCTGACCTCAAGTGACCCACCCACCTTGGCCTCCCAGAGTGCTGGGACTGTTGAGTGCTCTTGTACGCTCTAGACCACCTCTTGCTCTACCTTCTATGAATGCTTTTAATCTGTACTTTTTATTTGCAGGACTCTTGTAAAGTGTACCTAGGGGTACTGTGTTCCATATCCCGTTCTTCCTTTTTCACTCAGGGGTGTGGTTTCCAGACACATCTGTGTTGCTAGCTGTGTACCTTTCATCTTTGCTTTTAATTGTCACCTTTGCTCTGGGAAGAGATATAACACTTCTACTCATCCATCCGTCTGGGGACAGACACTCACATTACCCCCAACCAACACACGTGTGAATGGTGACATCCAAACATGTCCCCTCATTGGTATGCATGAAGGTTTCTTTAGGGTATACGTCGAGAATCGGCCTTGATGGTTCTGGTTCTGTGACCCTGACTGGCAGTACCCGGCCATCTTCCACTACCTGGACAGGAGGCTCCCCTATCCTTACCACACTGGGACCACTGGCAGTCTCATGTATGTAAGGTGACATCTTGTTTTCATTTGCTTTTATCTGATTGTGAGATTTGAGTGACTGTTCCTATGATGACTTCGTATCTTTGGCCCATTTTTCTTGCTTTGCTGTCCATTTCTTGTTGATTTGCAAGATTTCCCTGTTACTAATCTCCTGTGTTGACAAAGCTAATATAATCCACTGTGTGTCACTTGTTTCTTAACTGTTTTCACAGAATTTTTTTATTGAATAGAAATCTTGATCTAATCAAATTCATCAATCTTTTGTCTTATGTTTTGTGCTTCTAAAATGTTGAGCAGTTATTCTATGCCTCAGGTCACCAAAGCATTTTCTCACATTTCCTTCTATTTAAGTCTGTAGTTTTAAGTTTAACATATAAGCCTTTAATCCAGCTAGAGTCCTCCTCTGTATGAGGAGTTAGGTAGGGGTCTAGTTTTACCATCTTCCCTACTACCAGCTGATTGCCCGACACCATCTGCTAACATCTGTCTTTGTCCTGGTCTCTCGACATAAGACTGACTCTAGGCACAGAAAGGAGGAGGCAGAGGGTGGAGTACAAAGGTCCATGTCAGACGGTCCTCTCACACAACACTCAGGACCAAGCTACTCAGCAAAGAGAAAGTCAGTGGCTTCAGCACTAACAGGCTAAGTGACCATCCCCCAAGTCACTGGCAAGGTCAGAATCCAGATGCTCCTTCTTTTTCTTTTCTTTCTTTTTTTTAAACAGTCTCAGGCTGGGCACTGTGGCCCACACCTGTAATCAACACTTTGGGAGGCCACGGTGGGTGGATCACAAGGTCAAGAGATTGAGACCATCCTGGCCAACATGGTGAAACCCCATCACTACTAAAAATACAAAAATTAGGCCAGGTGCAGTAGCTCACACCTGTAATCCCAGCACTTTGGGAGGTTGAGGCGGGCAGATTGCCTGTGCTCAGGAGTTCAAGACCAGTCTGGGCAACACAGTGAAACCCCGTCTCTACTAAAATACAAAAAATTAACCAGGCATGGAGGTGTACACCTGTAGTCCCAGCTACTCAGGAGGCTGAGGCAGCAGAATTGCAAGAACCCGGGTGGCGGAGGTTGCAGTGAGCTGAGATCGTACCACTACATTCCAGCCTGGCGACAGAGCAAGACCCCATCTCAAAAAAAAAAAAAAAACAGAGTCTCACTCTGTCACCCAGGCTGGAATGCAATGGTGTAGTTTCAGCCCACTGCAACCTCTGCCTCCTGGGTTCAAGCAATTCTCACACCTCGGCCTCCCGAGTAGCTGGGACTACAAGCATGTGCCACCGCACCTGGCTAATTTTTGTATTTATAGTGGAGACGGGGTTTCACTATGTTGGTCAGGCTGGTCTCGAACTCCAGACCTTGTGATCCGCCCACCTCGGCCTCCCAAAGTGCTGGGATTACTGGCATGAGCCACGGTGCCTGCCCTTTTCCTTTTCATAGCAAAGAGATCCTCAGCAAGAATCCAGATCCTTGATTTTAAACTCTGGCTTCATTAACTTCAGTCAAACTTCACCTGTTTACCTGAAGGCTCAGGGGCACAGCTACACACTCTAATCATGGGAGAGGCCGCCTAAGAACTCACCTGTGTACGTATCCCATGTGGTGGATGTAGTCAAGGGCCTTCAGCACCCCCTGCAGGATATAAGCGATTGCCAACTCATTCATGCCATCCATGAAGTGTGTACAGATGAGATCCTTTGCAGAACCTGGAGGAAAGGACTGCATGAAGGCAGCAAAAGGTAATGGAGAAGGAAAACACAGGCAATCTGACAACAGAGTCCCAAGAACCCCTTTCTACCAGGAACCCTTTCCACTCACCATATGCCATGAATGATGTCACAACCCACAGCTCATTGTCTGCAATAAAGGTGGCTTGATATGGCACGATATTGGGATGGTTGAAGAGTTTAGAGACATGCAGCTCGCCCTGGAAGGAATGGTGAAGCTGAAGTCAGAACCAAACGGCACCTAAAGATGTCGCTCAGCACGAAGGTGGCAGCATGGACAATGCGGGGGACCTAGCACTTTTTGGGTGTTCCCAGAGCAGCCTCAGCAGGTACCTGTCAACATAGGGAAGAAAAACAAGGCCCTGCTGCCTCTGCAGGGACCCAGCACTGCTTTGCCTCTGCCAAACAGGGAAACCACCAACAATAGAGGGTGTCAGGGCACCAACTCAGAGATGATGATGGCAAACTGTTGACCGAAGACTTATGAAGTTAAAAGCTTATCTCAATTTCAAGGGCCAAGGTACAGAACTCCTCTTTAAGATAAGAAAACAAAAAATATTTTGTTGTTGTTGTTGTTGTTGTTATTGCTGGTAGAGACAAGGTCTCACTGTGTTGCCCAGGCTGGTCTCAAACTCCTGAGCTCAAGCGATCCTTCTGCCTCCACCTCCCAAAGTACTAGGATTACAGGCATGAGCCACTGAGTCACTGTACCTGGCCAAAAATGTTTTTCTTTATTTTTTTGAGACAGGGTCTTGCTCTGTCACCCAGGCTGGAGTGCAGTGGTGTGAACTTGTCTCACTGCAGCCTCAACTTCCCAGGTTCGAGTCATCCTCCCACCTCAGCCTTGCTGATATCTGTGACCACGGCTGGATGCCACAATACCTAACTAGTTTTTTGTAATTTTTGTAGAGACAGGGTTTCGCCATGTTGCCTAGGCCTGCTTTGGCCTCCCAAAGTGCTGCGATTACAGGCATGAGCCACTGTGCCCAGGCCAAAACGTTATTTCTATTATAAAAGAAAACATGGCCGGGCACAGTGGCTCATGCCTGTAATCCCAGCACTTTGGGAGGTGAGGTGGGCGGAACATTTGAGCCCAGGAGTTGGATAGCCTGGACAACGTGGCGAAACCCCATCTATACTAAACATACAAAAAATTAGTTGAGTGTGGTGGTGCATGCCTTTAGTCCCAGCTACTCAGGAAGCTTAAGTGGTAGAATCACCTGTGCCTGAGAAGTAGAGGATGTGGTGAGCTGTGATTTCACTGACGCACTTTAGACTGGGTGATAGAGCCAGACCTTGTCTCAAATTAAAAAAAAAAGAAAGAAAGAAAAAAACCATAGTTGATGGAACAGCAGGCCAGCTGAGACTGGCTTCTGCTGACACTGACCTCGGACCCACCAACTACTATGAACAGGTCCTAGAGCACCATCAGGTAACACCAATTCAGAAAAAGTTGTAAATGAGGAAGGGGAGGGGCTACAACTAACTAACCTGAAGGAAAACTGACCCAGGCCCTGAATCTAAGCAGGCATCAGGAAAGGGGTCTAATTCCCAGACAGTTACTAGACTCACAGTCTCTCTCAGTTTTGTTTTTGTTTTGTTTTTTGAGACAGGGACTCAGTCTGTCACCCAGGCTGGAGTTCGGTGGTGCAATCGTGAACTCCTGGGCTCAAGCAATCTGCCTGCCTTGCCCTTCCAAAGTGTTGGGATTACAGGCATGAGCCACCATGCCCCAGCCCCTCTCTCAGTTTAACAAGAGAGTGGCTACTTGCTTCTCGAATAGAAAGGAATGTCAGGGCCTGTATAGTGGCTCACATCTGTAATCCCACCATTTTGGGGGGCTGAGGTGAGCTGATTGCTTGATCTCAGGAGTTCAAGACCAGCCTGGGCAGGATGGTGAAACCCCATCTCTACAAAAAAATACAAAAATTAGCCAGGTGTGGTGTGCCTATATTCCCAGCTAAATGGGGGGCTGAGGCAGGAGATCCACCTGAGTCCAGGAGATTAAGGCTGCAGTGAGCTGGGTTCATGCCACTGTACTCCAGCTGGGTCAATAAAATAAGATTCTCAAAACAAAAAAAAAGAGGCCAGGTGTGGTGGCTCACGTTTATAATCTCAGCACTTTGGGAGGCCAAGGCAGGCTGATCACCTGAAATCAGGAGTTTGAGACCAGCCCAGCCGACATGGTGAAACTCTGTTTCTACTAAAAATACAGACTTTAGCCGGGCGTGGTGGTGGGCACCTATAGTCCCAGCTACTCAGGAAGCTGAGGCAGGAGAATCGCTTGAACCCAGGAGGCAGCGGTTGCACTGAGCTAAGATCTCGCCATTGGGCTGAGCCGCATTTCAGCTCAATCCTTAGTGCCAAATGGCCAGGATTTTCTCCTGAAAATTTCCATAACTTCTGAACGTTTACTCTCCCTTCATTTCTTTGTAATTCCTTATAACTACTATCAGAGCCAAGAGCCCACCCTCCCTCCACGTGACACACTCATGGTTTATTACCTGCAAGAATGTTACCATCTCATTGGAACAAGCTTCTAGGTTAATCCTCCGTACAGTCACATACTCTCCCGTGGGTTTGTACCTTGCTAGATTCACAGTCATCAGGTCCTCAAATCCTTTGCCTTAAAGAAAAGAAGAATGCCATACACAAGGACAAGAGCAACAAGGGGTTTAAAAAATTTCCTTTAAAAAAGGGAGTTGATTTCAGAAGAAACTTACTGTTAAAATTCCCACTACTGTTACTTTTTCTGTTTCTTTTCCCCCCTTTTTCCCAGCAGAATTTTACTGTTCTGTTCATGGCTCACATTTCTTGATTTTACTCCCATCAGTTCCTTCTCAGCCAATCATTCTGACTCACTACGGCCAGGACACCAGAAACATGCAGCCACAAAGAAAAAATGGCAAAAGGGCTACTCTCCTGGAAGCTTGATCTCTTCCCATACTTGGCAGAGGAAAAAAAAAAAAAAGATCCACAGAAGTAGCTCTGTCCCCATGAAGCCCCCTAACTAGTAGATGGCCTCTGCTGTACACACATATGGGGCTACTGAGAAAGCCAGGTGCAGCAGCCCTGGAGCAGGAGAGGAGAGTAAGGACAGCTCTGCACATACCTATCACAGTGAGCAGCTCATAGCACCCTCCCTCTGGCAGAAAGCTACTCATGATCTCCTGTTTAGAGAAGGATGCTATCGACTCTGAGCTCGCCTCATTGGTCTATAAAAGAAAAAGAAAAATAGGTTAATAGAGAAAACTGGGGGTGGGATGGAAGTGGGGTGAAGGTGGTAATTCAGACCCACGAGGAGACTGGCATCCAAACACACCCACAAATCCAGACTTGGTGCCAGCACTATTTGAAAAGAAACAAAACATCACATTCAATATAGTAATCAGCACTAATATCAGAGCAAGTGTGAGGGTTGTCTACAAATGAGGAGACATGGACCTGTTCCTGTCAACCGTTAATCTGCTTGTCCTTTTGAACCATCAATGCATTTGCTAAAGGCTATGAAATTCTCACTTGGAGAAGGGATGTCTGGAGAATTAAAGCATGTTTAGAAAAGAGAAGCAGGTGGAAAGGTAGGAGTTCTCTTGAATTTCCTGATGCATTAGGGTCCTATTTTTACGGTCCTGACCACAAGATCCCAAAAGGTCAAACACTGAATCTTGCTCTAGGGAAAATGTGGCCAGATTAGCCTCCTCTTTAGCAAACCAAGAGCCCAGGTCAGTTACTGCCTAACATTTCCAAGTGAAGTGAGAACAACTGATGCCCTGAGTTGAGGCAAGGGACAGAGCTGTCAGGTCTCGGGCATCATCTAGGCAGCCGACGTAGCCTGCTCCCTCGTTCCTGCCCATGTGTACTGTGAGTGAAGATGTAGTCCAATGCTTTAGGATGTGGGTGTCACAACCCTGGCCTCTGAGGTTCTAAAGGAAGGTATCCAGAAATGCCTGAGTTTGTGCAAAACACATGGCAGACCAGACCAACGGCTCTTCTTTCAGCTTAATGAACTGTTTCCTTCTTCCATACCTAAATTTATATGTATGATTTGGAGATTGTGACTGCTTTTCTTTAGATTCTCTTTCTTCAGATGCGCATCTAACTGAAATGGAGAAACCTAGGCCAGCTCATGTTTCATGTGCTGCACTCCTAAGCCTGACCTCCAGGCAGAAAAAGTCCTTTGTGAAAGTAGGAGAGGCCCCTGGTCCAGCACTACCCAGAAGAGCATGAGCTGAGAGTGTTCTGACAAGGCGGTGCCTGAACAACTCTTTGGGAAGCGGCTCTGCGGAGGAAACCGTCAAGATGGCAGTGCTCTATACCTGTTAGCTGACCACAGTGTACTTTCCAGAGCACTTCCACATTGCATGTGATCTCCTCCATGGCTCAGTGAAGTAGCTGGGACAGATCTTATCTCCACTTTTCACTAACAAAAATGAGGGTGAAGGAGATTAAGTGACTTTCCACAAATCAAAACGTGGGTACATGGCACAGGACCCAGGCCCAGGCCAATGAAATTAATATACCATCCTGCTGGCTGACATTCCACATGGTTTGTTTGTTGTTTTGTTGCTATTGTTTTTAAGAGATGGAGTCTCTCTCTGTCGCTGAGGCTAAAGTGCAATGGCAAGATCCTAGCTCACTGCGGCCTTGAACTCTTGGGCTCAAGTGATCCTCCTGCCTCAGCCTTCCAAGTAGCTGAGATAATTGGCAGGAGCCACTGCACTTGGCTGTGTCTGGTTTCAAAACAGTTGATGCTGCTGATGGGGAAAGAAATCCCAAAGTGGGCTCTGTCTCCCTCATCACTTATCCTGAAAATAAGAGGAACCTAATTAAGCAAAATTAAGCCCTTCACCAAATTCCATTTCTAATTCAATCAATTTTTATATTTCTAAGATTTGGCCATATTGTTATATTTCACTGTATTTCACCCATTTCCACTGCTGTACAATATTTATCTCATGAATATATCTCAGTTTACCCATTCCAACATTGATGGGTCATTTGGGTTGCTTTTCTGTTCTGCTGTTATGGACTGTGCTACTATAAACATGTTTGACTATGTCTCCCGAATGAAGCTTGTACTTAGGAGTGAATGGAATTGCTAGGTGACAGAGCACATGAACAATCAACTTTATGGGACAACACCAAATTATTTTCCAAAATACCAATTTACACTACTACCAGCAATGTAGGTGTTTTTTATTTTTGAGACAGGGTCTCATTCCGTCTCCCAGGCTAGAGTGCAGTGGCATGATCTTGGCTCACTGCAACTTCCGCCTCCTGGGTCCAGGTGACCTTCCTGCCTCAGTGCTCCCAAGCAGCTGGGACTATAGGCGTAAGCCACCACACCTGGCTAATTTTTGTAGAAATAGGGTTTCGCCATGTTGCCCAGCTGGTCTTGAATGCCTGACCTCAAGTGATCCACCCAGCTTGGCCTCCCAAAGTGCTAGGATTACAGGTGTGAGCCACCACGCCCGGCCATGTGTGTTCTCATTGATCTAACTTTTCCCCAACACTTGGTATTTTCAGATTTCTTAATTTTTGCCAATCTCATGGATTTGATTTACATTTCCCTGATTATTAATGAAGATGAGGATCTTTTCATGTATTTTTCAGCCACGTGAGTTTTCTCCAAGGTGAAAATATCTCTTCCTGTCTCGTGCCCATTTTCCTAGTAAGTTGTTTCAGTGCAGGATTTCCCCAAAGCAAGTCCCTTGGAACACTGATTCTGCCAGTTGATGGGTGGAAAATGTTTCCATGTCCAATGAAGTTAGGAAATGTAGAATACTCTCTCATGGAGAATTACAAGGTGTAAGCCCATATTAAAGGCACTGAGAAATTCTGTAGTAAGAAAACTTACTAACTTTGATTAACCTAGGATTTCCCAAAGAGATCTGTCTAGGGAGCCTTCTGTGCCTAACATCTGTTAAATTTTGGGAAAGATAATTGGGAAAGGCTATTTTAAATAAGACATTTGCTATAATGCAAACAGCATAGGTTTATGGGCCACATAGAGGCAGAATTTGAACTCAGGTCTATTACCGGTTCTGTGACCCTGGGCAAGTCACTCTGATCTCTCGGGATCTCCATTATCTCAGCAGCTGAGTAATTTCCATCTCATAGTGTTGTATCTATTAGACGAGATAAAATATGTTAAGAGCTTAGTGCTACCTGGTGTACAAAAGACATTCAATACATGTGAATCCTACTTTCTTCCTCCTCCTATTGCTGTCTACTTTTTAGTGACTTTTCTGTTCAACAAATAAAATGGAACAGAGAAAATGGAGGAAACAGAATCTTAAGTGGAGCTTGATCAGTAAAGTTGATTTGATACTGGTTTTTATACTTATCTGTGTTTTCTAATGGTCTCAAAATAAATTCTAGGATCATTAAATTTTATTTTATTCATTCATTTATTTATTTATATTTTCGGAGACAGAGTCTTGCCCTGCCACCCAGGCTGGAGTGCAATGGCGTGATCTCAGCTCACTGTAACCTCTGCCTTCTGAGTTCAAGTGATTCTCCCGCCTCAGCCTCCCGAGTAGCTGTGATTACAGATGCATGCCATCATACCTGGCTAACTTTTTGTATCTTTAATAGAGATGGGGTTTCGGTTTCACCATGTTGGCCAGGCTGGTTTTGAACTCCTGACCTCGTGATCCACCCATCTTGCCCTCTCAAAGTGCTAGGATTACAGGCGTGAGCCACCACGCCCAGTCTATCTATCTATCTATCTATCTAATCTATCTAATCTATCTTATCTATCTATCTATCTATCTATCTATCTATTTATTTATTGAGACGGAGTTTCGCTCTTGTTACCCAGGCTGGAGTGCAATGGCGCGATCTCGGCTCACCGCAACCTCCGCCTCCTGGGTTCAGGCAATTCTCCTGCCTCAGCCTCCTGAGTAGCTGGGATTACAGGCACGCGCCACCATGCCCAGCTAATTTTTGGTACTTTTAGTAGACACGGGGTTTCACCTTGTTGACCAGGATGGTCTTGATCTCTTGACCTCGTGATCCACCCGCCTCGGCCTCCCAAAGTGCTGGGATTACAGGCTTGAGCCACCGCGCCCGGCCACCTATTTATTTATTTTTGAGACGGAGTCTCACTCTGTCACCCAGGCTGGAGTGCAATGGTGTGATCTCAGCTCACTACAGACTCTGCCTCCTGGGTTCAAGCAATTCTCCTCCCTCAGCCTCCTGAATAGCTGGGATTACAGGTGCCTGCCACCACCCTTGACTAATTTCTACATTTTTAGTAGAGACAGCATTTTACCATGTTGGCCAGGCTGGTCTCAAACTCCTGACCTTAAGTGATCTGCCTGCCTCGGTCTCCCAAACTGTTGGGATTATAGGTGTGAGCCACCACGCCCGGCCTAGGATCACTGAATTTAAAAAAAATTATTATTATTATTTGAGATAGGGTCTTGCTATGTCACCCAGGCTGGGGTACAGTGGCAAGATCATGGCTTACTGTAACCTCGATCTCCCAGGCTCAAGCAATCCTCCCAAGTAGCTAAGACTACAGGCATGTGCCACCACGCCCAGCTAATTTTTGTATTTTTTGTAGAGATGGGGTCTCCCTGTGTTGCCCAGGCTGGTCTCAAACTCCTGGGCTGAAGCGATCCTCCTGCCTTAGCCTCCGAAAGTGCTGGGATACAGGCATGAGCCATTGCACCCTGCTGACTGTAGCTTCTTGAAACCATTTCATCTTCAGAATCATCTTAAGATACTGGTTACTCCATATCAGGTACCTCACACAAAGGTGAAAGAGATACACAACCAGGAGACAAAAATGGAGCAGCAATTTGAGCAAAAAGCCTCAACCAAGAGTTCTGAAATGACAACTCTCCACTGGGTTAGAATTCACAATGCTCATTTGGTCTCGAAGTGTCTCATTTTCTCAACCTTATATACCTCTAACTCCTATACATATTCTTGCTCTGCAGATTCTGTTTTCTGAACATCAATAAAACCAATGTTACTGGTTAAGAGAAAGCTCAGTGGGTTGCTTTCAGACCCAAACTCCCCGCCCCAGCCTATGAGTATCCAAATGATTTGGCCTTTGTCTACCTCTATGATCTCATCCCACACCACCCTTGCCCGAGTCAAACACTATCCTCACACAAACAAGCAAGCTTCAGTCTCAGGCAACCTGCACTAACTGTCCCTTTGAAACCCTCCTAACCCCCTGCTATTTTTCTCATGGCTAGCTCCTCAATATCACTGAGGTCTCAACTTAAATGTCCTTTTTCCAGAGAGACTGCCCAGCCAAAGTAAAGTAGTCTCCTAGTCACGTTATCATACAGCCTTGCTTTCCTTTCTTCATAGAAGTTATCATTACAGCTTATTTCTCTAAAATCTTCCACTAAAGTCTCTTCCATTAAAATGCCAGCGCTATAAGGGCAGGGACATTTTCTGTCATGTTCACTGATGTATTCTCCCAATGCCTGGAACACTGCTGGCAAATACTTAAAAAATGAAAATAACTAAAGTTTAAACTGAGGTTTTCTGCCCATGATCTCTTCATTCCCATGGGCTAGAGAAAAGAGTAGGGTCACTGCACCAGCTAGTTCCTTTGGAGACAGGTTCAGTATGATGACCTATGCTGGAAATGTCAGCCTCATATGACACAGTCATTAGATCCCTCTATTACTCAGGGCACTCTAGAGATCAGAATCTGATTCCTGCATGTGAGAAAGTACTGCATTTTTCAGTAGGTAAAAATATGGCCTCAATGAGAAGCAACTACTTGGTATCTGAAGGTCCTCTCACCTCTGCTCTCCAAGCAAACTCCTTAAAATTTCTCTCACTTGAAAAAGAGGCTGTGAAAGACAGCGGAGTCCTGAGATTCAAATATTCATTTTATGTACTTTAAATAATTCCCTTTGGAAAAACCACGGATAGATACTTCTTTATTACCTATGTCCCTCTTCCTTGCCAGGAGTGGATATAAGCTTATAAGACATATTGTCTACTAGGCTATACACTCAGACACATTCTTGCTGAGCCTAGGTAGGGAATGATTCATTAAACTATTGATGTGCTTAGTAACTTGACAAATATTTATTTCTATTATCCAGTAGTACAGAAAAGTGCTAAAACTAACCCAAAAGTATTAGATTTAGAAAATAAAATTCTCTTTTTTTTTTGAAACAGGGTCTCACTCTGTCACCCAGGCTGGAGTACAGTGGTGTGATCATAGTTCACTACAGCCTCAAACTCCTGGGCTCAAGTGAACCCTCCTACCTTAGCCTCCCAGGTATATACCACCATGCCAGGCTAATTTTTTTTTTTTTTTTAAATTAGGGATAGAGTCTTACTCTGCCTCCCAGGCTAGAGTGCAATGGTGCTATCCTATCTCACTGCAGCCTTGAACTCATGGGCTTAAGGGATTTTCCTGCCTCATTCTCCTGGGTAGCTAGGACTACAAGCGTGCACCACCATGCCTGACTAGTGGTTTTTTTTGTTTTTAGAGACGGGGTCCCACTATGTTGCCCAGGCTGGCCTCAAATTCCTGGCCTGAAGTCATCCTCCTGCCTTGGCTTCCCAAAGTGCTGGGTTTACAGGTGTGAGCCACCACACCTGGTCTTTAGAAAATAATTTTTTTGGTCAGGCATGGTGGCTCATGCCTGTAATCCCAGCACTTTGGGAAGCAAAGGCCAGCAGATCACCTGAGGTCAGGAGTTCAGGATCAGCCTGACCAACACGGTGAAACCCCATATCTACTAAACACAAAAAATTAGCCGGGTGTGGTGGCACATCCCTGTAATCCCAGCTACTCAGGAGGCTGAGGGAGGAGAATCGCTTGAACCCAGGAGGCAGAGGTTACAGTGAGCCAAAATCACACACACCACTGTACTACAGCTTGGGCAACAGAGCAAGACCTGGTCTCCAAAAAAGAAAAGAAAAGAAAGTTCTTTATGTAACTGGCAATATGAGCTCATAGGTAATCTGGAATTGCATAAAATCAACTAGTCCAGTGATAGCAACTGCTCTGTCCCCAGCTCACTAGGAACGATTCTAAAATGGAGGCCTTCTACTTCATGGATATTGTATAGGTCTGAACTCAGAAACCAAACTTCATTTAGGAAAACAAACAAACAAACTAGGAAACAGGGAATATTTTGAAAGGAAGTGGTCTCATCTGACATTGCCAGAGGAAAGGCAGGTTAGTTCATCTCACTGTTTCAGATTTAGAACAGGTCTAAACGCAGATAAAAAGAACGAAATATTTAGCACATTCTCTTTAAACACAGCATGGCATAGTTTAATTAGTGCAATGTAATAATCTCAAATTGCTCAGAGAAAGAAACTGATTCTATCAGAGTATTTTCTTAGTTTCCCCCCCACCCTGAAATGCATTTTATTCATTTTGAAGCATTTGAAAAATATGTAAGCAAAGCAGCTGATATCCAGAAATGACCATAAAATAATTTTGTTTAAAGAGTTTAAAACAAAATAAGTAAAGCATACAAAGAAAATATTCACAAAATGCTACCAAATAAACACATTCAACTTCCCGCAGGTTTCACACAGGATAACTTTTGATTTAACATCAACAGCTGTAAAAATATAAAAATTGTATGTAATTGGCATTGTATTCTAGAAGAATACCCAACTGATCCTATAGGGAAAATTTTTGGTTTCCAGATTGGAAAGCCATTTGGATCTGATAGAGAGGCGCTCCTGATTAGCAGATGACATAAGAACAGGCAACGCTTCACTCAGAAATTCCCAGTCAACATCACTGTCCTTCACTCAACCTTGGGGCTGCTGCAGAAGCTGCAAATGTCTGCAATCTGAACAGAGGCAGAAGTCTCTGTAGAAAAGGTTCTTATCCTCTCCTTTATAAGACACTGATTCATATATTCCAAAATAGCTTGGTACACTCTGCACATCTGGTGCTAATTAAGAAGAATAAACTAGAAGAGAAAGAAACAGGGTAAGAATCTTGCAGCTTTCACCAATGAAAAAAGTAATGTTCTGTCTTATACTTTTTAATTTTGCTTTCGTTTTTAAGGTAGGAGATTTGAAGTCCTGTCTTAATATCTAGACAGAGATCTGTATTATATCTGTGGACTAAAACCTATTATTAATAGACTAAGGATGGAAAATTTAATACCATTAGTCACTACACAATAACCATATTTCAGATTGTTGAAACTTACTTTATTGGGGGAAGGGGTGGTGGTTGATTGGCAGGGCTGGAGAGGGGAGGAGACCTTAATCCTCAGAAGAGACAAAAAGTACCTGAGATTTTTTTCAGTTTTCAAACTACACATCCATATCTTTCCAGGGTGAAACCTGAATCTCCACAAGTACAAAAATCACACTACAAACAAAGCTCAGTGACAGATAAGCAGAAACATAAAATGATAAACCAACAAAACACACGAACTTCCACAATAAGTCATCTCCATGCAACAGCCATAGTGCCAGGGCCTAGGAAGTCACTTACTTTTCTCCGAGTGTCACCCGGAGGCTGCTCTGGAGTAGAGAAATTGAATTGTTGGCATTTTGTGTTTTAGCAGAAGATACATCCACATTCAGAACAGCAATTATTGTACTTAGGACTACGTTTATTAATAGAAACCACTTAAGAGTCATTACAGCAAAAAGTGCCTGCAGGGGTACATACACACACACAGATTCACAGTAAAAATGTTGCAGAGAGATGAGGCTTTTTTTTTGAGACAGTGTTTCGCTGTTTTTGCCCAGGCTAGAGTACAATGGCACAATCTCGGCTCACCGCAACCTCTGCCTCCCGGGTTTAAGCAATTCTCCTGCCTCAGCCTCCTGAGTAGCTGGGATTACAGGCATGCGCCACCACGCCCAGATATTTTTGTATTTTTAGTAGAGATGGGGTTTCTTCACGTTGGTCAGGCTGGTCTTAAGCTCCAGACCTCAGGTGATCCACCTGCCTCAGCCTCCCAAAGTGCTGGGATTACAGGCATGAGCCACCAAGCCCAGCTGAGATGGGACTTTAAAACACGGATCTATGGTTCTTCAAAAGGTAGAAAGGCCACCACTCTATGGGTATTCTTTACTGGATATAACTCAATTTTGGTCATACATTTACTTGACATCAACACACAATGTTATTGTGAATAGGCCAGTTTCTTATACTTTGTGAACAAACAATTCATTATATAGTTATAGAGATGGTTGGCCATTTCCCAGTGAGTGCGGGAACTAGAAAACACATTTTTTCAAAAAAGGGCAAAAGGTTTTATTACAGCAACACATGTATAAGGACCATTACCCAGTCTGATTCTCTAAAGTCATATACACTTGATTCTAAATGTAAATAAAGTAAAGGCAATTTGGCGCTCTGCTAGTCCTAGTGAAAATGAACAAAGCAAAGGACAATTGAAATAACTTTCTGTTCTTAAATTAGACAAATTCTGTATGTACTTCTGAACTTCTCTATTCTGTAAAAGTGGTAAAAATCACCAAGCTGAAGATTTTTAACTGTAAAATATTGGGGGTGATTATACATTTCTAATCATCTTAAATTATGCAGTCCTAAATACCTTAAACTATACAAAATCAGAAGAGTAAGTCTAGTTACCAAGGAAAATGCTTTCCCCTAAGAAACATTAGAGCATCCAATTATACTGCAAGAGATTATCTGCAGAGTAAATGAGCCTCCATCTATCAAAATATATATATATATATATATATATATATTTTTTTTTTTGAGACAGGGTCTCAGTCTGTCACCTTTGCTGGAGTGCAGTGGTGCAATCTCAGTTCACTGCAGGCTCGACCCTTTGGGCTCAAGTGTTCCTGCCACATTAGCCTCCTGAGCAGCTGGGACTATAGGCACGTGCCACCATATCTGGCTAATTTTTGTATTTTTTGTAGAGACAGGATCTCTCCATGTTGCCCAGGCTGGTTTCGAACTCCTGGGCTCTAGAGATCTGCCCACCTTGGCCTGTCTGGCCTCCTGAAGTGCTGGGATTACAGGTGTGAGCTACCACACCTGGCCTATTCAAAACAGGAGTTTTTCCCCCTTGGACATTAGTTTTCTGGTACACAAATGGCAGGAGAAGTTGCTTAAGACAGTCTATCAAAGGTAAGAAGTCAGGTGAATGGATTAAAGACATCTAATCCAATCTTCCAGAATAGAAGGCAAATTCTAAGTTGTATAAAACTTGGTAATATAGACTTCTTCAGGCTGTAACAATATATAGAACAACCTCTCCACCCTCCTCGTATCAGAAACTAGGGCACAGTCAAAAGACAACCAGAGGCCAGACACAGTGACTCACGTCTATAATCCCAGCACTTTGGGAAGCTGAGGCGGGTAGATCATCTGAGGTCAGGAGTTCAAGATCAGCCTGGCCAACATGGGGAAACCCCATCTCTACTAAAAATACAAAAAAATTAGCCAGGCATGGTGGCACATGCCTGTAATCCCAGCTACTTGGGAGGCTGAGGCAGGAGAAGTGTTTGAACCTGGGAGGTGGAGGTTGCACTCCAGCCTGGGTGACAAGAGCAAAATGCTGTCTCAAAAAAAAAAAAAAGAGACAACCAGAGATCCTCCACTCAATACACTGAAGCCAGAGCCCATTAATTCAGTTTACATACACTGGAATAGTTGTAACTAATTCATTATAAACTGGACTTCCAAATAAATTCTCACAAATGCCAACAATATTTTTTTCTTGAGAGAGGGTCTCAGTCTGTCATCCAGGCTGGAGTGCAGTGGCATGATTATAGCTCACTGCATCCTCAGCCTCCCAGGCTCAAGTGATCCACCCACCTCATCCTCTCATGCAGCTAGGACCACAGGTGTGTGCCAACACACCCAGCTAATTTTTGTATTTTTTGTAAAGATACGGTTATACCATGTTGCCCAAGCTGGTCTTGAACTCCTGGGCTCAAACAATCCGCCTGTCTTGACTTCCCAAAGTTCGAGGATTATAGGCACGAGCCACTGTGCCCGGGTTCCCCAAACCAGTTTTTTAAAGAAAGGGGGTCTCGCTATGTTGCTGAGTCTAGACTCAAACAATCCTCCTGCCTCAAGCCTCCTAAGTAGCTGGGATTACAGAAGCACACCACTGTGCCCAGCTCACTGTTTACTTTTAAACCATTTTATTCCCATTAATGATGGGAAGAAAACAAGAATAGGAACAGAATGTGGTATTTTTGTTCCATTGGCCTTTCCTTTACTGTGCATCTAACTGATTCTTTCCAATTAAAATATAAAGAATTGATCATTTTTCTAAACTTCCATTTGTCTAAAACATAATACTTTGACAAAGTTCACAACTACTACTACTCAAGAAATTCTTTGAGATGTGTTAGGAAAAATAAATTAATAGGTGTCACCTAGTAACTAACAAGTTTGAGTTTTCAATTATTTAAACCTATCTGGGGATATTGTGGATCAACTAACCAATGTACTCAATCTGATAATCTGTTTTTTAAATTTATTTCTTATTTTATAATTTTTTTTGAGATGGAGTCTTGCTCTGTTGCCCAGGCTGGAGTGCAGTGGTGTGATCTTGGCTCACTGCAACCTCCACCTCCCGAATTCAAGTGATTCTCCTGCCTCAGTCTCCTTAGCAGCTGGTACCACAGGCATGTGCCACCATACCTGGCTAATTTTTATATTTTTAGTAGAGATGGGGTTTCACCATGTTGGCCAGGCTGGTCTTGAACTTCTGACCTCAGGTGATCCGCCTGACTTGGTCTCCCAAGGTGCTGGCATTACAGATGTGAGCCACAGTGCCCGGCTGATAATTTGTTTCTTTTTCTTGAGATGGAGTCTTGCTCTGTCACCCAGGCTGGAGTGCAGTGGTGCCATGTCAGCTCACTGCAACCTCCACCTCTTGGGTTCAAATAATTCTTCTGCCTTAGCCTCCCGAGTAGCTGGGACTACAGTGCGTGACACTGTGGCCAGCTAATTTTTGTAGTAGAGATGGGGTCTCACCACATTGGCCTGGCTGGTCCTGAGTTCCTGACCTCAACTGATCTGCCTGCCTCAGCCTCACAAGCTGTTGGGATTACAGGTGTGAACCACTATGCCCAGCCTGATAATCTGTTTCTTAAACTATAGGATCCTAAAATTTTAGAGTATCTTGGTATTCAGACACAAAGAATGGGGCTCTACCATTATTTTTATTGAAAATAATTTTTTTGCCCTGAATTAAGATGACAGTTCCCAAAAAGGCTTGCTTTGAAAATGGCCAAAGAGTAATGCCTAGGCCTGTCAAGGTTTACTTCTGAAATCAACATTCAGATTTTGTAATAGGAAGTTAATTTTTGCTGTGAAAGATTTTTCCTTAACTCTCTTAAGTCTTATAATTTCTACCATGAAAAAATGAGTCAACTAGATTGATCAATAAAACCAGAACATTCATATAATTGCTTTCTTTGTCTTCACAATTATTTTTAGCATCTTCATGGCTAGAGCCTTTTAAATAGTTTTTTTTTTTTCCTTTAAAAATATGTGTTTCAACTGGACAAAAGAAAACATATATGCCTGTAAGTAAATACTGGCTTTCTAACAATCAAGACAAGCCACGGAAAAATGCCAGGTTAGTCTTCAAGTCTTTGGGAAACCATGAATTCAAAAAGGAACCAAACAAATCGAACAACTATAGGTTACATTTGCCCTCAGAATTGCTAATTGGTATAGATTGATTTAGTCTACAAAAAAGTAGTGATTTTTATACCTTGAAGTGATGGCTAAATGCCATACTGTACTTACCTCCAAACAGTTCCAAATCTCTTAAGCCCTCAACAATGAACTTTTCCGAGACCCACCGCTAAAGAGGAAAACCCCAAAGAGAATTAGTATTTCTTCCAAGCCACAACAAATTAGCTATCAGCCTTTAGACAGACAGACAAAAACACAACTATGAAAACAGAATCATGCAGTACAGTTAGGAATCATTTCTGTGGGAAAGTTTTTAACAGAATCTTGAAATTAACTAAAAACAAGATTCTTGTCTCTACTCCTCTTTGCCTATTTGATGAATAATTCTTAAACTGGACAGATGAGAAATAGATAGTATTGGCCCTAATAATGAAGACTGTTTTTGCCTTCCCTATATTGGTTCCATCTTACTCATTCTATATTACAGATGCCTTGGATCACTGATGTCAATTTGAAAAGTATTACTGGAATTCATAACACAGAAAACAGAGATGAAACGGTAGTTATTCACAAGACCCTGTTAGTTTGTAAAACAACACACAGCAAGCTGCATATTCTTTATCCACTAGAGGTTCTAAAGACATGGCTGCTTACACTTTCTGCCAAGTTCACAAAGGCCAGACTAGTAAGACCAAACTGGCAGGATCAATCTACGGCTCACTTTACTGGCCTATTTCAAATGAGTGTTAGATTTCTGTCATTCTGATCAGTGGTTTTGTTTCACATGAATTAGGCTATGTTGAAACAGAAAAGCAGGTCATATTTAAAAGCAACGGAATCAAGATTGTATTTCCTGTAAGGGCCGGTGTTACAGTTTGGCTTGGGGGCATTCCTTCCACTAGGCAGAGTTCAGGTTATGGAGAGATTCCGTTTTTCCTCTTAATTAACAGTGAGGTTTATTCTTTCTAGTATAAATTGTCCTTATATGCATAAACATTAGAAAAAAGAAGATTAAGTAACATTTAGAAATAAGTTGCATGATACAGGCTGTGAATTGGAACTATAGCATCATTCTCTGTCCTTCCCTATAACTATTTTTCCAAGTCAAAAAAGAAATAACATCCTAAATTTAAAACTTTATATAAAATTATATGCACTGCATCAAAAAACAAATTATGCTTTAATATGTAAAGAAACTGGTGTACTCATAACGTCTCATAGCACTTCTACACTGTTACACAATTTTAAAATAATTACTACTGCATTTAGAAATTAAGTACTTGATAATAAACAAAATAAGACACTCATGAAATAATGAGAATTTGTAAAGAAGCTAAATCTAGTATTGTTTTTGAGGTCATTTTGGCTGACGAAGTTTTGAGATATAATAAAATCTTTCATGTTCAAGAAGTCTTCAATTAAAACTAATTACATACTTAAAAAAAAAGTATCCTGGTAATTACAACTTGATTTTGAAAACTCACAGACTCATGGGGGATCATCATAAGTAGTTACACATCTATGCCAAAAAGTGTCATTGAGTCATTTAATGTTGTATGACTGAGGCCGGGCGCGGTGGCTCAAGCCTGTAATCCCAGCACTTTGGGAGGCCGAGGCGGGTGGATCACAAGGTCAAGAGATCGAGACCATCCTGGTCAACATGGTGAAACCCCGTCTCTACTAAAAATACAAAACATTAGCTGGGCATGGTGGCTTGTGCCTGTAATCCCAGCTACTCAGGAGGCTGAGGCAGGAGAACTGCCTGAACCCAGGAGACGGAGGTTGCGGTGAGCCGAGATTGCGCCATTGCACTCCAGCCTGGGTAACAAGAACGAAACTCCATCTCAAAAAAAAAAAAAAAAAATGTTGTATGACTGATATTCATAAAATAAGCCACTTTCTTCTTGTTTCTTCTCTTTCAGACAAGCTGACGGTAAATTTTGTCTCTGGTCAGCTTCTGTCTGCAAAACTCTTCTCAGGAGTTGAGGCTGCAGTACCTGCCTTACTTCCTACATCCCTCACTTCTGTATCATTCCGACCCTCACACAGAAAACCACCTACAACATCTGCCAAAACACACTGCTTTTCAGAAAACAAAAATAGCAAAGCCAGAAGAATAGAAAAACACTCACCCTGATTCGCTCTGGTTTACTTACAAGAAAAGACATGAGTTCCTACTGTGTAGACCTACTTCAGATTCAAAAACTTAAACCTAAAAGGAAAACAGAAACAGGCTGAGTTAGCAAAAATTTCATTATATAGAAATACCTTCTGATTAACAAAAAGTTATTACAGGTCTACCATTCAAAGCATTGGACTTCACCTATAAATTGCTAGATTTGTTTAAAGAAACTTTCAGTGATGATAAATCTGAATGTACTTTGGCCAAGTACATTATAAAATTCTGTAATTTTTGACCAAGCGTGGTGGCTCAAATCAAGAGCTAATCCCAGCACTTTGGGAGGCTGAGGCAGGTGGATCACTTGAGGTCAGGAATTTGAGATCAACCTGGCCAACATAGTGAAACCCTGCCTCTATTAAAAATAAATAATAATAATAATAATAATAATAATAAAATAAAAAACTAGCCAGGTCCTGTAAGCCCAGCTACTTAAGAATTATTTGAGCTGGGCATGGTGGCTCATGCCTGTAATCCCAGCACTTTAGGAGGCCAAGGTGGGCAGATCATGAGGTCAAGAGATTGAGATCATCCTGGCCAACATGGTGAAATCCCGTCTCTACTAAAACCAAAGAAACAAAAAATACAAAAATTAGCTGGGCGTAGTGGTGCACGCCTGTAGTCCCAGCTACTTGGGAGGCTGAGGCAGAATTGCTTGAACCTGGGAAGCAGAGGTTGCCGTGAGCTGAGATTGTGTCACTGCACTCCAGCCTGGTGCCTGGTGACAGAGTGAGACTCTGTCTCCAATAAAAAAAAATTAAAAAAAAAAGAATTTTTTTTTGAAATTCGTTTGAATCATTTCAAGTGTCTCAAAAAAGAAAAAAAATTAATTTCTATAGAAAGAGAAATGCATTATATAGTTTTCCTTAAATTAATTCCTAAATTTATCTTGACCCAATCCCCCACTAACCCCTTACCAGAAGCAATTACCTTCAGTTATTTTCTATGGTTACCCTGCTTTTCTTTTTTTGAGATGGAGTCTTGCTCTGTCACCCAGGCTGGAGGGCAGTGGAGAGATCTCGGCTCATTGCAACCTCCACCTCCTGGATTTAAGCGATTCTCCTGCCTCAGCTTCTCAAAGCAGCTGGGATTACAGGTGCGCATCACCAGGCCTGGCTAATTTTTGTATTTGTAGTAGAGATGGGGTTTGTTTTGCCATGCTGGCCAGGCTGGTCTCAAACTCCTGACCTCGTGATCTGCCTGCCTTGGCCTCCCAAAGTTCTGGGATTGCAGGAGTGAGCCGCCATGCCCGGCTGGTTATCCTGCTTTTTATTTATTTACTTTTTGGAGAGACAGGGTCTCTGTGTGTGGCCCAGGCTGGTCTGGAACTCCTGGACTCAAGGGATCCTCTCATCGTGGCTTCCCAAAGTGCGGGGGTTACCACGTGAGCCACCATGCACAGTGCTATCCTGCTTTTTAATAATTATGCTTAAACAATGTTTATATGACTATAACTTTAGATTTTTAAAATTTTCTTTACTGCTCCTTGCAGAGCAGGGCTAACTCCTAGGCAGTGCACCTAGAGTCAGCCAGTTTTAACTTCCTACCATGGTAGATGAAGACAAAGCTTTACTACATCATCTTCTTACACTGTATCTCCTGCTCTCATTCTACCAACATAGCTCTGGCATAAGTTTGGTTAAATCAATAGTCCACATTTACATTACTATGACTATGCAAATATGGTTCAGAGTTGAGGCAAACAGAAATAACCATGTCTTGGCTAGGCACAGTGGCTCATGCCTGTAGTGCCAGCACTTTGGGAAGCTGAGGCAGATGGGTCACCTGAGGTCAGGTCAGGAGTTCAAGACAAGCCTGACTAACATGGTAAAACCCCGTCACTATTAAAAATACACCAAAAAATTAGCCAGGCATGGTGGCGGGCGCCTGTAGTCTCAGCTACTCAGGAGGCTGAGGTAGGAGACTCGCTTGAACCCAGGAGGCGGAGGTTACAGTGAACCAAGATCGCGCCGCTGCACTCCAGCTTGGGTGACAGAACAAGGCTCCATCTCAAAAAAAAAAAAGAAATAACCATGTCTCTTTCATTTATTTATTTGAGACGCAGTTTCGCTCTTGTCACCAAGGCTGGAGAGTGCAGTGGCACACTCTTGTTCACTGCAGCCTCCACCTCCCAAGTTCAAGGGATTCTCGTGCCCTAGCCTCCCTAGTATATGGGATAACAGGCACCTGCCACCACACCTGACCAATTTTTGTGTTTTTAGTAGAGACGGAGTTTCACCATGTTGGCCAGGCTAGTCTCAAACTCCTGACCTCAGGTGATCCACCCACCTCAGCCTTCCAAAGTGCTGGGATTCCAGGCATAAGCCACTGTGCCTGGCCAATGTCTTTTTTCCTTATACATCTATTTTTTGCTAGAGTTAATAACTGCCTCATTTGTTCACTTGCTTGGTTTCCCATATAACTATTATTAACTTTTTACAAATACTCCAACATTTCTGCTATTTGCCTTATCCATGTATTTTTTCACACCCTCAAACCCATCAATTTCAGTTTTCTCCTGAAAACTGCTTTCATAGGCTGCTCCAGTCTCCTGCTGCAATCTGAACGAGCAGCTTTTTAGGCCAGTTGCACTTAGCTGACTTTTTTGTGTGTGTGTGTGGCAGGGTCTGGCTCTGTCATTCAGCCTGGAGTGCAGTCATCTTTGCTCACTGTAACCTCTGCCTCCTGGGTTCAAAGCATCCTCCCACCTCACTCTCCTGAGTACCTGGGACTACAGGTATGTGCCACCTTGCCTAATTTTTGTATTTTTTTTTGTAGAGACAGTGTTTTGCCATGTTACCCAGGCTGGTCTGCAACTCTATTTTCTTTTTTCAGATGGAGTCTTGCTTTGTCACCCAGGCTGGAGTGCGGTGGCGCAATCCCAGCTCACTGCAACCTACGCCTCCTGAGTTACTGGGACTACAGGCATGTGCACCACTATGCCGGGCTAATTTGTTTGTATTTTTAGTAGAGATGGGGTTTGACCATGTTGGCCAGGCTGGTCTCGAACCCCTGACCTCAGGTGATCTGCCCACCTTGGCCTCCCAAAGTGCTGTGATTAAGGTGTGAGCCACCGCACCTGGTCTCAAACTCTTTGAGTTCAAGCAGTCTGTCTGTCTCAGCCTCCCAAAGTGCTGCCTGGCCCTACCCTGATATTCTTATAGAAGCCACTTCTCCAACCCCAGCTCAGAATCACTCATTTATCTTGTCATAAAAATTTAAAAACAGATTTTACTTGAAAAACATTATTAGAATGCATATTTAATAATATTAAACACAAATCATCATGCAAAAGAAATTTAAGAGGAAAAAAGGTCTATATTCTTATGTAATCTATAATAGAAAGAGAAAATGAATGTACATAAAGAGGTAGGTAGATGTTTTTATTTGCAAAAAAAGTTTCTATGGTCTGGAAAAATTTTGGAAGTAAAAAATAAAATTGATTTTTTCTTTGTTTTTTATGAGACATGGCTTCATTCTCTTGCCCAGGCTGGAGTACAGTGGTACAATCTTGGCTCACTGCAACCTTCAACTCCTGAGTTCAAGTGATTCTCCTGTCTCAGCCTCCCAAGTAACTGGGACTATAGGTGTGCACCACCATCTCTGGCTAATTTTTGTAGTTTTAGTAGTATTCACTATATAGACAGGCTGGTCTTAAACTCCTGATCACAAGTTATCCACCAGCCTTTGCCTCCCAAAGTGCTGGGATTACAGTTGGAGCCACCCCACCCGGCCTAAAACAGGATGTATTTCAAATTAACTTGTCTCTTTATAAAAACTATAGATGCTTAGACACCCACCTTCAAAAATTCTAATTCTGCAGATCTGGGGAGGGCCTTGGACATCTATACAGTTTTTGTTTGTTTGTTTTGAGACGGAGTTTCGCTCTTGTTACCCAGGCTGGAGTGCAATGGCATGATCTCGGTTCACCACAACCTCCGCCTCCTGGGTTCAGGCAATTCTCCTGCCTCAGCCTCCTGAGTAGCTGGGATTACAGGCACACGCCACCATGCCCAGCTAATGTTTTATATTTTTAGTAGAGACGGCGTTTCACCATGTTGACCAGGATGGTCTCAATCTCTTGACCTCGTGATCCACCCGCCTCGGCCTCCCAAAGTGCTGGGATTACAGGCTTGAGCCACCGTGCCCAGCATCTATACAGTTTTAAAAGCTCTAGCTGCTACCACTACCACCATTCTCTCCCATCTCACTGCAAAAAAACAAAAGCCCTTCATTGTTAGGATTGAGAACCACTGAGAAAAAAGATGGAGTAAATTCTAGGCTCTTTTCTGCTTTTCTAATTGTGTCTTGGAATAGTTCCTCAAATTTACAGCTGACTAAAAATCTTCAGTTAAATGCACAGTAAGAATCTTAAGAATATGAATATATCTTGCTATTTTTCCACTTGTAGGAATTTGCCCTAGGGAACATGTATACAGAAATTTAGTTATAAGGATATCTTCTATAGTGTCACAATCACTAGCCAAATGTGGTTATTTAAACTTACATCTGAACTTGTAAGAAATAAATAAAATTTCAGTTCCTGTTGCTGGGTGAGGTGGCTTACACCTGTAATCCGAGCACTTTGGGAGGCCAAGTAGGGAGGATCATTGGGCCCAGGAGTTCAAGACTAGCCCGGGCAACACAGTGAGACTCTGTCTCTACCCCCCCACACACACACACAAAAAAATTAGCCAGCTGTGGTGCCTATACTCTCATCTGAGAGGCATAAAATGTGCTTGAAATTCTGGGTGGCTTAGTGGGAGGATCAGTTAAGCCTGGAAGGTCAAGGGTGCGATGAGCCCTTATTGTACCACTATACTCCAGCCTGGGTGCAGACAAACATCCTATCTTTAAAAAAAAAAAAAGAGAAAAAAAATTCAGTCCCTCAATCACATTGTCTACATTTCGAGTTCTCAGGAGTCACATGTAGCTAGCAGCTTCTCTATTAGAAGATGAGAATGCCTGGGAAAGCATAGGGCCAGCTGTATACATCCATGGCTTATCTTTTTGAGACGGAGTCTTGCTCTTGT